AAGTTTGGGGGAGTGAAAGGGTCAAGAAGGGAATCATTTGTGTCCCTGGAAAAATCCAAAGAGTTAAAACATGCGCACAAGCAGCGTGTTCAGACACCCACGCCTGCACACGAGCTCAAGTTAGCACACGAACCTCAGACACCAAGAACATGCGCCTTCGCCCTGTTTGAACAAGATGATCGGCTCCATTTAGTCACTTCAGCAAAAACTCCTCAGCAAGAGCTAAGGCATAAAAGAGCGAAACACATACATACAGAGGCCTGATAGATTGCGGCTCTTTCAGCCACAGAGGCCTCTCAGCGGGGCTGGCAGGATGAACAGAGACCCCATGCAGGCTGAGGGGTGAGTCGAAGGGATGAGTAAATACAAATCTGATGGAAAGGGACCGCCTAACCAGCAGTAGGGCCCAACCTGGAGATGACATGGAGCCAAGCTGATGACCCAACAGCGGGGAACCGCCAAGATCATTTAAGGTTTGAGCGTGACCATTTGATCGAAGCTGAAACCACTAAGTGAAAACACCGGACGCAGCAAGCTGCCATGTTTCTCCCTCGTCTGGAAATCAATCTGCCTGTGGGTGGGAGCTATTTTCATTCCAAGTCATGATGCACTCTCACTGAAAACAAAATTTTACTGTAAATATCTGTCAACCATATGGGACGTCAAGTTCCAAATAATATGTGGAAAATTATCATTAATATCAGACTAATTTGATTTTGGCATACTTTAGAACATCAACGTCCCTGATAATTTCTAACTAAAGCTCTATTAACTGTAAGTGAACTTCTCATTGAAATTATAGCATTTTAGCTGCCTGTTAGAGATCCTGATCACTATTAGCAGCTCATTATCCAAAAGCATAGGCAACAAACCCAGGTAAAATCAGGTTTCATTATTTTTGAGGGACATCGTCCATATTTTCTTGAATGTGTTTATTATGTTTCTGCTAAGAATGACCAAAGATGGCAATTAAAGAGTAACAGCAGATGATATAACACAGGATACTTCAGTGTCATTAGAGCTTTTAGAAAAGTTTCTAAAAGCATCTGGTCATGCCAGGTTTAAAGCAGTAGGTGCAAAACCACTGAGTGCACTGAATTAAAAACGAGTGTGTTTTATTGCTTGTGAGATACACATTTCGTAGGTAAAAGGAACTGCTTTTTTCTTTCAAACTTACATCGTCTCGGTTTAACAGGAGAACAGTAGTTTGCAGGTGTGGCTGTTCAGGGTGAAAACTGTGAAGGAATAATTGGACATTGTGTTCTTATTGGTGTCAGACTTCTGCAGAGTAAAAAACAGATCACTCACCCAGCATGTTCCCACCGCTGGACGTGACGACACGTGTACTGCTATTAACTGAACATAAACATGGTCTGTTCCTCCCCTGCACAAATCAGAACCACCTGCCCTCGGGCCCTGAGAACTAGCTGGTCCTCTCTCCGGACCTCCTTTGAGAGAGCGAGAGAGAGAGCACCTCTTGTTTGGACAAACGTCAGAGCCGGTCCAGCGGCTCCTACATGAAACGAATAGTGGAGAAAAGAGAATCTTAGCCTTCGTGTAGCCTCCTTCAACCCCAGGCTTCCTCTCCACCCCGTTGCACAGAGCCCAATATTTTTTAATTACATACAGGAAACTCCTGTTACAAAGGACACTTTCATAGTCAATCTAATGGCAGACTGTGAGAAGTGCTGGGGTCACCTCTCCCTCTCTCCCTGTCTAATTGATTGTGTGTGGGTTGTATTGACTAACAAACTGGAGAGTGTGCAACCTAGAAATTCGGGTCCACTTTCTCAAAGCCAAGAAGGCACCAGGTGCTTGAATGCAACACGCTTCTTAAAGACACCAACAGCAAAACTACATGTACAGCTATTGTCTTCACTTTTACAAGCACCTGATCTAGTAGAGAAAGCTGCCTCTGCAGCACCTTCTGTCTTATTTCCTTGTTCATGTATCCTGGATTAAAATACTTGTCAGTCTTAACAATATTTTATATTGCCAGACAAAGAGTTAGACATGTCAATAAGCTTTTTCAATTCTCAGATTTTTTGCTCTGGTGGTCTCTAACTGACAGGAACTGAGGCGCTATTTGTTATCTTTAGGTCCAATAAGTACATCTGGTTTTGGTTTGGCTCCTCAAGATCGCCCCTGGAGATGTGGATGGAGGGGACTTAGGGGTGAGGTGGGGTAGTGGAGGGGCAGTTCTTGGAGCCTTTTTTCTTCTCTTAAATTGAATTTCTCACCATTCCAACCTGGGCCTTGGACCAGGGATAGAGCGAGAGCTTGCATTTGGCTTCCAGCCCTCAGGCTCCTGAAAAGCTATTAAAAAAAAGAGAAAAGGTAGGGAAAAATCCTTGGCCCAAATCAGTATCACCTGTTTTGCCAAATGACTCGCATGTTCAGAGTAATGGTTATTAAGCGACTCAGATTCTCTCTGCCTGTGTTTGCAATAGAGGAATGTATGAACTCTCTCTGAACCGTTCCTGACATGAAACTTTTAGTGGGATGAAATGATGTGTGAAAGTAAACAAATAGTAGACTAAACAAGACTGTCAGCCTCAGATAGGAAACTATTTGAAATGTATTTTTAGGACGCTTTATGTAAAAGTTTTTTTTTAATTCTCATTTTGATTTTTCCCCTCAAAATTGGTTATAAATCAGTTGCCAATATTCTAGTTCGGTTCAAGCATCTGTAATATTTATACAATACTGTCAATTGCACGTGTTCAGTAGCCCACAGGAAAACAGCTGTTGTTGGAAGAAAGATTATTATAATAACCCACTAAGGTGGCCTATGTAAGGCAGTGCCTGTTACAGTTTTTTATAATTATTGTCTTTAATTATTAAATAATTATCATTTCAGATTCAGGGGAGTTTAATGATATAATCAAACTTTTTTCATTTATGTTCTGAATATATGTTCTTTATAATTGAAAATAAATTAGTTAATTCAGCTTAAAGGAGACATTTGTGCTTCTTGGTTTATGCCTATTAAGTTTTTAAAAAACTGTTTTTCTCCCAGGTTGTTTAACTTGAGTGTCTGTGGGGTTGCCTTTAAAGCCAGCTTCAAGTAGCCATTTAATGAAGTTCAGAAGTGACACTTGGTCACTCCAGACATTAGGATTGCAGTCCAATAGACTGCATAAAGAAATGCGTTCACTGAAAACAAAGCATACAAATACACTGCAGTGGTTTGTCATTTTTCATTTACAGAAATGCTCATAAACTTACTTCGTTAGACTCCATGTGCGACAATATGCTGCTTTATACATTATTTGTGCAGTTCAAAGTCAACCAAATCTTTACATTTAAGAGTATTTAATTGAATAAAAAGTGGATTTAATGGTTCTCTTTAACAAGTTTTATTTATGATTCTTATTGTTTTCTTTTGCAGAGTGCATATATTCAAGTTTTTGTCTTAAAGTTTATTCATTTATTTTAAGAACAAGAACAACAATAAGAACAATGATGAACATTTACCATCCTTAATATATATTATTACCATATACTTACCTTATATACTTGCTTTTCCAATATATGTTGGAATAAAAAGCTTGAAAATTATTTGTTTTTCTTAGTGTTTGTTTTTGAAGTGCACTTATTCATGATAAGAAAATTACATGTTTGGGTATGCTAACAAGCATATGTAGTTTTGCATAAATGCATTTATTGATTGACTGATTTTGGTATAAATGGAGGTATGGGACATTATAGGGTCCCATATTGTAAAATGTTTATCTGCCAGTATTTACCATGTTTTTGACATATATTAGATATTCAGTCCAGCAGATTTTCATGAAGAAACCTGTCAAATAAAAAGCCATTTTAATATGCAAGAAATTTGCATAGGCCTGTTAATTCTGAGAGTCTGGTTTTATGGACAAAGCCAAACTGGAACCGTGTGAACTAAAGGATCAGGCTGTGGTGCAGAAAGGGCAGTTAAAGAACATCCTGAAATACCTGTTCTTAATGAAGAACAATAAGATTCACAAACTGAAGATAAATCATAGAATTTTCCAGCAAGATATCAAGAGTTGAACAAATATAAAAAAATCTTCTTTTCCTATGGTTGTGCCTCATTTCTTAAAAATCACCAAACCTTCCATTACAACTACAGAACAGTTCATTATAGCTATCATTTTTTCTTTGTATTCAGTTTCGATATGAGATGATTTTTAGTTATTTTCCATGTTCAACTGCACTTTTCACATCATGTTCATTTCCTAAGAAGAAATTCAACCAGAATAATTCAAGCTTCAGCAGATTCCAGGTTTTACAGATGGAAGAAAACTCGTCACTGTCTAATGCATGCTACGCAAAGCAGAATTGCTATATAAATCAAAATAGTTTATTTTCTCAACTCTTACGATTCTGTAGCATAACAATTTCACACTGTAATTGTTCTCAAATACTGGGTTCCTAAGGCTTTGGGGGCAGTTTGCATTTCTGGTATTTCTCTACAACTGAATACATGTTTCCCGTTGTACTCTCCCATAAAGTCTTTACTTATCCCTGATTAAACCCCTGGGTTCTGTAGAATAAGAGCTTATAATGCTTGCTTTGTGGGAAAGTTCTACTTTTCCTCACTGTCATTCTCCTTTTTTCAGACTCTTAGCCTGTTTTTTGTTGTCTGTACAATCCCTGATACCCTGAATTCCATTACTGCAACAGCATCCTCACCCCACATGCTCAGTTTATTTTCTCAAGTGACTGTATTGCACAAACTGACCCCTTCAGATTCTCCTGATTTTGCTCCTTGAATCTGCTCTACTTTCATTCTGAGTGAAAGTGTGTGCTCCTGTGTTTCAATTATTATGTTTATTACATAAACTGAGCCAAGGTTTAAAAAAAAAATAACTTTGCCAAAAATAGAATATTGCAAAGTTTATAAACACACAAAGAGAGCTATTAAAGTTCTCTGTAATATTATCTTACTAAATGGATTTAGTTTTTGACAACATGCAGTATTCTTAAAATTCAAAAGAAGAAAGGACAACAAACGCTTGAAGATACAATTTCAGTTTAATGAGTGTGTGCACACTTCAAAAGTACATGCTAAATATGTTAGCAATCAGTGAGAACAACTTATTTTACCAGAACTACAATAATCTGGCATTTAACACGAAGGTAAATGAAAATATAGCTCTAACTAGAGAGGCAGCAACAGGTAGACGGTGCGTCACTCTCAGTTAGTGAACCTTCACAGAAGGCATTTCAAATAAACACTTGTTTTCTTTATTAGCGATTTTAGTGCGATGAATATGCAGAAAGACAGGCTCTGAAGCACAAGGTACAGTTAAAAAAAACTAATGTAAATTATAACTACGTACCAAGTTCAAACTTTAGCTGCAAAGACATGCAAAAAAAAAAAAGTATATACTTTGCTAATAAGACATAAACTGTGTTGTCAAGGTGTTTATTTTAAGGTGACATGTGTTGCCGACTAGTCTGTCCAGTGGAACCCCAGCAGCATTGTGTGATATTAGGTTATAAAGCGCACATACTACAGCTTGTTAAGCCAAACACACAAATTCCATTCTCTCCAATATGCACAATGCACATCCAACAGATTCTAATTTGAATTATTAGCACCTATTTACAGCTGACCGTGTTTATAACCAAGAGGGCAGCGCAGATAATTACATTTTTATTACAACTGTTGCTGTAGCCTTCAAGCAGTAGCAGCTGAGGTATATTTCTAAATGCATAAAGTTGTTGTTCTCAAGAAGACAAATAAAATCAGCAAGGAAAGGCGGTACAGTGTTTTTGGTTAGAGATAAATAAGGATGAGTCCAAGTGAGAATTTTATAGTGAAATAAAAGAGAAGAAAATGCGATTTTTTGTGGCTTCCACAAGCAAACACTATCATACAATATGTGTAATAGTAATTTGTAATAATAATAATAAGTATTAATATTTTTCTATTAAAGCTACATCAGATTATGACTTCAGCACCATTTTGAAATGCCAAATAAAAGAATATTGCAAACTACCAGTTGAACATGTATACTTCCCCTGTCACAGTTTCAACAATAACTGAACAGTATTAGCTTCACAAAGATAGCACAGTAATCACACGTCACATAGTAATTCTACTGGATTTTTTAGTGTTATGTGATGGTCTGTTTTTTTTTTTATTTAATTTACCCTGTTTTTTGTGACATCATCACCAGTATTTAACACACAGAACTGTTATACCTAAACTGAGCTATTTTCCTTTATATATTTCATCAGGGTGTTGCTTACAATAACACAACACAGTGGATCACATGTCAGGAAGAGGTTTGCGGTGTAGACAGATTTTCAGTCAGTGTCATGAGTACACTGACTAAAATTTAGGTAATTTACAGGGACAGAAGGGTTGGTCCAAGTGGCCACAGGTGGAGCGTCACCTCAGTGTAGCACCCTGGAAAGAAACATTGCAATGGTTTACTGTGAGAGAACCACATCTGTATCACAGCATCCATTCTGCTACTCCAAACAAAATTTGAGACATGCTTCCCTCTTGTGGATGATTTGAAAGCATAACTCTGACACTGAATTTTTAAGCTGTCGTCCCACAGTCCAAAAAAACACGTCGGTTCAGTTAACTCATGATTCTAAATTGGGCGTGCATGTGCGGGTGTGTTTCTCTGTGTTTGCCCTGATACACTGGCATCCTGCCCAGGGTGAGTATAAGGAGGTGTGTGCATATAAGAAGGGAACAGATTTAAATATAGAGCAATACTTTCAGACCCACCTCAGCTTTCAGTATTGGGCACACATGATGATCTCCGTGATCTGCACATAGTTTTCTGTGAAACAGACAAAAAACAATAATCACCAATACAACGGTAAGACAGGAATAAACATCCACAACAAATGTAAAGTACAATAAGATGCATTCATTTCATTTCATTCATTCATTTCATTTATTTGTTCATTTCAGGCACAACAAAAATACATATATTAAATATAAAGTGCACAAAACAAAAAACAAAAATTACCTGAAAAGGAGTGGGGAAATAATTTTCTTTACTAGGTTCACATATTTTACAAATTTAAGTACTTTTCCAGCATAAAAAGCCTTTACCCTCACAAACGCATGCTTTACCTTTGTGTGAAGACGATGATGAAGGGCAGGGTCGGCAAGCCAAGGATGCCTCAAAGCCTCACATGCCCCCATCCTCCAACTAATGGGAAACACAAAATCAAAAAAAAAATTTTTTTTACACAGTTCATGTATTATTAGCTTTCGTAAGATCAGAGGTCAGTGTATGTGTACAAAATCCAAATACCTTTTATTTACAATCAGGAGTCTGGAGATGAAGTCTTTGGCTTCTTCTGATGTATCTACAAACTCTTGTTCCTCAAAGTTCCACTGACAGGCCAAGATGTTATTCAGAGTCTCATTGTCATCATCGCCGAGGAAGGGACACAGACCGCTCAGACTAGCAGGGAAAAGGGAACGGATGATCAGCAAAAGTTTGTGGATGTGCGTGCATGCTTCTGTGTGTTTACTTACAGCATATATGTAATTACACCAAGGCTCCACATGTCTGTGTTGAATGACACAAAGTCATAGTTGATGACTTCAGGAGCGAGAAACTCTGGAGTCCCAAAATTCACTCGGAGTTTCTCCCTTGGTTTATATCTAAGTTTGAAATATGATTGAAATTCACAAAACTGACATGTTGCATGTTGTATGACCACAGCAGTTCATCCAAGTGGGAATAAAACAGAAGTAAATACCAGTACTTACATCCTGGCAAGACCAAAGTCAATGATCTTGACCTTATTTGTGATTCTGCTCACACACAGGATGTTTTCTGGCTGAAATTCAGCAACAACAAAGTATTACCATTTGACTTTTTGAATGGCATAATCCTGTTATGCAATATATCTACAAAGTAATCACTGCAAACACGTGTGACTTTGTTACCTTCAAGTCGAGATGCAGGATGGACATTTTGTGCATGTGCTGTAGGCCATCGCAGATCTGCCTGATAAACAGCACAGCATCCAACTCCATCAAAGTGTGGTTTTCATCAATAATCCTGTCAAACAGCTCGCCTCCGGCAACACTGAAGGCAAAGACGAGCACATGAAAAGCATTAAAAGAAATTTAAAAAAGAAAAAAAAATGGCAGGTAGATAAGATATGTAAGCAAAGTAAGTTGCATATGAAATCAAATTAGAAAAAAGGTAAATAATAATCTATAAGTAAACCAAAATCCCTTCTGAAATAAATAAACATGTTTTTTTAATAAAGGAACATACTATTCAAGTACAAGGATGATGTCATTTCTTGACTCATAGGCCGCATACAGCTTGATCAGGTTTGCATGGTCGAGATTATTCATGACTTGGATCTCATTCTTCACAACCTCCTACCAAAGAGACAGAAACACAGACACACGGATGCGATGAGAGGTGTCAGCTGTTCTCTGCTAGGACAGACAATGCTTCTTCTCTTCTAGGTCAAATACTTGTCACCTCGGTGACAAGTATTTCCCTCTATCTCTGTTCCAAGAGTGATCTTGTTTTGTACTAGCGAGTGTTTAAAATTTGAAACCGGGACTCTGCTTTTTATATCATGTGATGTAGCTGTCACTGTACTTTGTAGTCATGACAGTATATGAGAGGTGTCATACCCTTTCTTTCTGACTCCTGGCTTTGATGACTTTCGCTGCCAAAGTGAGACCGGATGAATTCTCCACACATTTGTGCACCTGGCCGAAACGACCCCTTTGAGGAGAGAAAGCAAAGACAAAAGTCACATTTCTGTAGCTGGAGAGAAACGTCTCAGTTCCATTATCACATCAAGTCAGACGATCCAGCAGTTGGGAAAAACGGTGCTGTGATAGATGTATTTTCCCACGACGAATCAAAAACTGATCTTCATACGGGGATGTTTCTGGAGAGTCTTGTGCTTAATCTGTTATTTCATTAAATGTGAGCCAAGCTGTGTCTCCACTTTGAAGACTTGGATTAACACTTTGTGATTAGCTACCAGCTGGCACCGGGGATACAGTTTCACATGCCAGTCGGTTCTAAAGTAAAAATAACTGCCGTGACTCTGAAGTTATGAAACATCAGAAAGGAAGGCGGGGGTTGGGGGGACTTTACGCGGTTACATTTTACGGGTAATTAAAACCTGTTCTTACTGACTTTGATCTGTGATAGATCAACTTGTCGATATCTTTTACTTATTTTGCATTTCATGGAGATTTGAGGAGAAGTACAGCACTCACCCGCCCAGGATCTCCTGCCAGCTGATGGTATAGAAGTTTGTAATCAGGTTGGGCTTGGCTGACACAATGCGGTGATTAAAAGGAGCCACTGGAGGTGGAGTGGTGTCTAAAGTTGGATGGGGGCACAAGAAAAAAGATGTAATCTGTTTTAATAAGTTGAGGAATGTGAGAACATACAAGCTTCACTGATAATTAGCTACAGTGAGCCTTTGGAGAGTGTAGATAGCTGTCATAATCAAGTTAGCACATTGTGTACTAAAGAGCTATGATAATCAACAGCTACAGAGTTGCCACTTTAATATAACAGGTTACCATTTCACTTCATATTGTAATACTTCATTTGTAATTATTTTTCTTTTTTTTATCCTCCCTCCCCTCACCACCAACCAGTCATACCAGATGGTCTGGCTGTACCTGAGGTTTCTTCCTGTTAAATGGGAGTTTGTCCTTCCCACTGTCGCCAAGTGCTTGCTCAGAAGTTCTTTTGATAACTGGGGTTTTATCTCTGTTATTGTACAGTGTTTACCTTACAGTGTAAAGCAACTTGAGGTGACTGTGTGATTTGGCACTATATAAATAAACTGAACCAAATTGAATGAAGTCTGCGACTAACTATGCTCAGAGTCCCAATAAAAAGAGTGGGAAAGCATTTAAATGTATGTACTGATATATAAAGCTGTATAAAGACTCTTTACAGATATTTGAGCGGTTCCAGTCAAGCCATTACAAAGACTTCTACTATACAGTGTACTATAAATGATACATACAGAATTTGTTGCTACCTTGAAAAAGCAAACACATTTTCAGTTTAAAAAATGTATAATCCTACAAAGATAAGTATATAATATTTTACTGGTGCTCTCACCGATAAAGTACTGCTCAGGACCATCGTCATCCTCCTTTTCCGCATCATCTTTTTCTCTCTCCTTCTCCACCTGTTGTTTCAGGTTCAGCTGGAGTTCAATTCCATCTGCCTTGAAGACAGCCCAACCCTCTGACTCAGCCTTCTTCTCATCCTTATTTTTGTTTTCTTCCTCCTCGTCCACCTTCTTTTCCAGCAGCTGGCTCTTTGGGTGTTCCTCTACAATAAAGTGTTCCTGGGTGACAAAGGACTTGGTGCTGCTGACCTCTGATAGGGTGTCCTGTTCAGCCTCAGGAGATGGTGCTGCATCTTTGTGGTCATCTCTACTGAATGAAAGTCGATGGATTAGTATGTTTTTTGCATTTATATTAAAATATTTTTTTATGTTTTTGTGCATATGTTTGACCATAAAAATAGAAAAAACACAAACAAACAAAAGTAATGTAATAACATATCTAACACTGTTATGAATTGTTATTGAATTAATGAAATGTTTTAGATCTTAAATATATAATATACAGTAGCAATGTGACACCATACAGGACGTTAATGAAATATCATGTTTTGTTCAACAAATTCACAACATTTTTAACAGACACTAAAATGTTTAGTATTATAATTGTAATAATAATAAATTATTACAGATTGTTTTTGTCCTTAAATGCAATAATGGACTACCTGATTGGAGTTGCTTCCTTCTTATTGTCAGGGGAGGTAGAAAGACCTGAGACTTCTTCAGCTGCAGAAACACCTTTTTCCTCTTTGTCCTCTTGGACTCCAAGCTTTTCTTCTTCTTTTTGCTTCCCTAGATTCTCCACACTAGGCTGGAGCTCCTTCTCTGTAACATCCTCGGGCACCTTCTCTCCACTTTCCTCCTCAGTAACTGCCTCAACATCCTCATTTTTCTCAGAAATATCCACTTGGGAGTCTTCTTGCAGGTAGTCCACCAAGCTGCTGGCAGAGGCATCGGGTTCTTGATCTTTAGGGGGCACTCCAGCTTCTAGATCCCGAAAACCAAGGGTGATCTGCTGACCTGATTTCTCAGCGTTCTCCCTGTTGAGTTTCTGAACCTCCTCAAGGAGCAAAATCTGCTTCTTCAGTGAGATATGTTCTACAAGAATACCAAAGAGAAGTTAGATTTAGTCTCTCAGGATCTGGTTAATATTCATCGCTTTAAGAAGAATTAACATTTTCACTCTGAAAAATTCCACTCCGATCTTTAAACGTAGTTTCTATCCCAATTAAACGCTAGCAAGCAACAGCTACATGTAATAACACTGTAATACAGCCACATGTTCCACTCATAGAAGGTATTTTAGAGTATTTATTTACATTTTGCTGCTGCTGTGTCTCAGATTATTTTGACTTGCAAAGAGACACTGGAGTTTGTAGAAGTAACAGTGTGTTGATCTCAGCACCTGCTGTATCTGGAGGCTTCATCTTCTTTTGTGCTTTCAGACCCTTAGGGCACAAACGGGGTGTATCTGTCCCATCTTTGCCTTTATGGTCTTTCAACTGTGAAATGCAAAACAGAAACTGTCAAACCAGAGACCCAGACGAGTACATTAATATGAAATGAATGCATGATCAAAGCTTTATTAGAAAATAAACAAATCAGTTGTGTCGCCCTGGTACTATTTCTTGTCCCAGAGCGAAAATAAAATACAAATGGTCTTCTTTTTTTTTCGTATCTCTGGAGTGGCGATGCAAATATTTCACATGTTCTCTAAGCACATAAACGTACAAAGTTTCCACATTTGCGAGAGGCGAGGAAATGCTTTGGTCCGTGAAGCTTTATCTTGGGAGAAGACTGCAGAGTACTGGGCTCACATGCAGGCGTTATCTCTTGTTTCCCTTTTTTCCCTTTATTAGAGGTAGTTTTCTAGTAAAAAGACAAGAAGACAATGCTTAGAAGGGTTACATGAATGCACACAGAATTGGTGGCATTTTGGTAAGTTAGATTCACACGTTAATGCACAGGATGAATCAAAAATCAAAGACATGTTGGATTTAGTGTCACATGTAAAACGCAACAAGAAGTTAATAAAACGTTGAGTAATTTGATGACAGGCGAATGAAGGATAAAATACGAAGCATTTTCTCTGTTCTCCGCACACAAATTAGCACAGTTAGTGCACGTCTTTATTGCACTGGTAGAATTGCATGCCTTTGATTATTTGTGGCAGACTTGGATAGACAGGAGCAGGGCAGTGAATTTATAGCTTATCACTGGTCACACTCAGCGATGGAATGCAATGTCGACCCTGAATGGAAAATATTGCAAGCGACTGCAGGCTGTAGTTCAAATTTCTCAGCTAAGGAAACTCACTAAACACTCTCCGATCAGCTTAGCATGGAAAAAAACCTGTCTTGAACATCAGGTGTCTCACATTTGTTTTCTGTATGCTGTTGGGACATAAACAGCAGGGGAGCTATTTCAAGTGCAGCGTCTCCCCAGTGACCGCGGTGATTGGAGGGTGAGGAAGTGAATGCAGATGCCGCAGTAGCCCGAATTACTTTCAAGTATGTCACACCTGTGGAGGTGGAGGAAGACGGAGCAGCCACCTGGCAAGTGGTCTGACGACAACAGAAATTCCCTGAAACGTGAGTCACGGTGAAAACATCACATTGGTATTTGGTCATTAATCATCAGGGTATAATTAAGCCATAAAATGTGACACAAACTTTTAATGGGCTTGATATCGTTGAGTCTGATTTTAACGTAACCAAGTCTGGGCATATAAAACCTAAGAGTGCACCACTGCACAATGTGCACTGTTACGTAGGTATTTTTTCCAAGTATGTGATATCGTTATCATGTTACGTCAGAGCCACTTAAGTGAGTTCGCAATTTGCTTGTACGTCATACATCAAGAGAGATACAAGCTGTGTGGCGAACTGATAGGAGTGTGGTGTAAGATGTCAAGCAGCACTCAGTGACCTTTAGTGAGGTTTAACTGGATGTGAGTGGATCCTAAGTTTTCAGTTGGTGAATTGTTTTTCCTTTAAAAAAGTCATAGAAAAATGCATATTTGATTATTTTTTTCTTCATTAAGTTCAACATTTTGAATCTTGGTAGACTTGCGAGAAGTACAGTGGAAGCAGGCATTGCCTCAATGGGACTGTATTACTTCCATGAACTTGTAGCAGACTTCTGAAACACTATCTGCAGTTTAAAATAAAGACAATTACTGGAAGCTGTAATTCAAAAATACCCTGGCAGCATTGTAACAAGAACTCTCGCCTAAGTTTTACATTTTATGTGCTGCAAGAAGTTTAGAAGATTGCAAAGAATCACAATGACACAGACTTCAGACAATGACTGTTCATCAACAAAGCGATAATGGCAAAGATATGACTTGGATAGTAACACTAATAGGTCTGCACAAGAGAGCCGCAGAAATGAAATGGAAATGAAAGAAATGGACTGCGAAACAGAAAAGGAAAGAAAACTCTACAGTTTGTTAACACCTGGTAATCTGAAGGGATGCAAGACCATTTGGACCACAAACACTGTAGCCCGCATCCAAAGACAGCATTTCTAAACCAGGCCACTCGTATTTCACCGCAGACCTTGCACTGGCCCTCTCGTGCCCTGCTGGAGGTCCCCCGCAGGCTTCATGCGAAGGAGACCCTCAAGTTACACTCGGAGATCCAACATCGACACGTGTGAGTTAAACTGGGAGTTTATATATGGAATAAGTGACATACTGTCCAGTAGCTTACCCAACACTATAAAACTAGTCTTCTTGCTTACTTTACCTTTAATCAGCAGTTGGCAAGTTTATACACGTCAAAACTCAGACACTACACCAGTCTATTATATGTGGAATTTCACACACAAGCCAAGTCACATTCGCTGCTATGATCATTTTCATATGTCCTGCCAAGAACAACAAGATCCCAGTGAGATCTTAAAAATCAAAGTTAGCATGGATTATACAAGACTTGATGCTCATGGTGATGCATGGGCTATGATGCCTGGGCCACCTTTAAATGCATCAAAACAAATTCTTGTGAATCTAAATTGGATCAGTAATAAAGGTTGTCCCCTTTTTCTCCAAAACCTCATTCATGACCAAACATCTTACAGTCCTTTTGCAGTATAGAGCAGGTGCACACTTCAGCCTATATGTGCAGTGTCTTACTTCAGCTTGTCTCACCTTGTCAGGCTTTTTGGATACTGTATCTGAAGATGATTTCCTCTTTATAGCTTGCTTCCCTTTACTGTCTTTTGACCTCGAGCCCTTTTGAGCCGTCGGGCCTTTGAGCATCAGCTCCATTATCTTCGAATGTTTCACCGTCTCCCCGATGAAGCTGATCATCTGTTGCATGCTGAGGACCAATTTTTCCATTCCTTCCAGCTTCTGAGCCTGCTGCTCGGACCGCTGGTTCACCACCGACATGATGGAGCTCATCTCCTGGCAAATCTGCCCCACCTCTCGTCCCATGACTTGGGTCTGATTCATTACCCTGGGCGGGAGATGGATCTCCTCCTTGTCGACCTTCAAATTCTCCATATCCTTCTCAATGTCGTCAATGTCGTGAGACATGCCATCTAGTCGGCTGAGGACTTTTTCCTGAATATTGATGAGCTTGTCCATCTTGCTGCTCAGTGTCTCTATGCGATTTTGGATGATGTCAAAGCCTGCGTTCTTGCCATCAGCCACTGCATTTATTACCAGGGAACTCATGGTTTCCAGTGATGTAAAATTCACGTTAAGACACCAACTTGGGACAAGAATAGGACCAAGAATGCCCTCAAAAATACTTCTGCAAAAATCTTAGCCAGCTCTACAAAAAATGAAATAAAATTCAGAAAAAATATTCTACATCAAAAACTGCCAGGTGACAGATCAAATAAACTATAAAGCTCAATTTGTGTTTATCTCAGTTATTACTGAGTCAGACTTCTGTTCCTCCCAAACCTTATCCCTGAGCGGCTGCTCCTCTCTTCTAGAATTGGTATCTAGAATGGAGTGAGCAGGTGTCCCTAAATGTAAACGGCCAGCCTACGTCAGCAGGGTTTAAGTGATTGGGGTGGGAGCTTGGCAATGCTTGGGACATATGAGACGTTTGAGAGTCTTTAAGTGTTAAGCCGACCACCGTCACTCGCCTGCTGGCTGTCAAAACGTTCACTGTACACATTTCTGCTTCTTAGGACAATGCTCATTAATTTGCACAATTTATCCTATTTAACTGACGGAGGTATTAACTTGTTCCAAGAGACGGATACATGTGGTTCACATTTTTGAATCAACTGCACTAAAAAATAGAGAGAGCTGAATGTGAAGTCCATGTGTGGCTTTTTAGACAACGCAAGAGTACGTTTGAGATAATTTCAAAAGGGAAAATGTTCAGTTCAAGTGTTTATTTGTTGTATTGAAATGTTTGTGACATCAAGGGAAGGACTGGGCTGTAAGATATTTGGCACTGATGCATGTGACTGTGCGTGTACTGTTGTGAATGAGAACCATGTTGCAATGCAGATTCCCTCCTTATCTTTTGAATGCCTAAAACTCGCACTCAGTGTCAGGGGCAACCTGAAGAGGTGTGTGTTTCCTGGTTGGGTGGAGATAGATTAAAATGTTTATCCCTGACCTGAAATAAGAGCTGGGTAACATGGGCGAGTTATATGATGCTTACTTACTGACGGAAACATCCACCGATAACCATCCTTAAGACAGCAAAGGATCCATTTTAACTGAGCTGCTGTAATATGACCGCAATCCAGCTTCACTATATATCAAAATAGGCATTATGTATTCTACCAACAAATCAGAGAAAACATATAAACACAAATGCAGCCTTGCTGTCAGTCGGGTTTTTGTTTCGTTTTGTTTTTTGCCTTTCTGAGTTCATTCTGTACCCATAAGTACACGGATGACATAATGAAGGAAGGATCCAGCTTTGCCCAAGCTACCATGAAATTCTTTTGACAACAGAGTCACAGAGCACAAATTGAGCTACGGTGACCTTAGCCAAACTCGCTGTGACGCGAGCCAAAGTCTGGCCTCACTGGTGCAAAGAACCAGGGAAGGTTCTGAACTCTGCAAAGGAAAGTGCAAGCAAGTGAAGTGGGAGAAAAAGAGTTTACCTGTCGGCTGTCACACCGAGTTGAACATTTGTCTAATTTTTTTTATTTTTTTTTGTTGGTGTAGATACGCTATGTTGAACAAAGCCTTCACAAATCCTTCTACACCAGTGAGACCAGGGAGTGAACCGAACCACTGCTTCCCCTTGAATTTGTATTGTCTCGTGTCTCGCTAAAGCAAGACAGCTGCAGCGGGAAGACCGAGTAACTGTGACAGGGCAGAAACAGATGGAATGAAATGGACCATCAGTCACTCAGGGTAAGACACCAGTGCTCACACCTGTCTTTGAATGCCAGCAGATGACAGACAGCATGGGAATTAACAGCATGTTGTGTCAATTTAATGAGCTCGGACACTTAGCTTTCTTACAGTGTGCATGTGCATGTAACACGCACAAATATTAAAGACAAGACAGAGCAAATGATTCTGCAACGTGGTGTTGTTGTCATATCAGTGGACATTAAACGCAACGTTGCAACATCCTGGCACGATCTCGGTAGATCTGTCAGTGGTCAGCGGTGGGAGGTTACGAAACCCAGCAGGAGATATAAAGAGACATTAGACTTATGACATAAAGCAAATGTCAAGTTTATATCACTTACACTTTACAGTGAAACTAATACCAAAGAAAGTAACAGCATCACGGCCAGGGCTCAAAGTCGTCTCTCACCATCTCTGCCAAGAGCGAGTATGTGTACACACAATGTGGAAGCTGTGAAATCTTTGCCCGGTCTGCTGCTGCGTGGTTAAAAGTTGTTACGTTAATGTGACAGCAAAATCACAGGGATGTTTAGCGGCATTGTCTAATGCATAAATGATGAATGCTTTATAAATTATTCAAAATAATTCTTTGTTATATTTACGGGTGCGTATCCCAGTTGAACTTGTAGTTCTCGAGTGACTTCTAGAGTGGAAAACATTTGAAGGTAAATTGATATACAGCACAGGGGAGAGCACCTTTAAATAGTAAAACTTAGAACTTTTGAGATCACCGTGTACCCTTTGTATCCCCTAATGACTGTGAAATCAAAGTCTTACGTAATAAAAGCACTAAGAAGAATCAATCTAGTTTATGCCACAATCACTTGGTTGCAACTGATGAAGCTGATTTATCACTCAGTGAATAATTTCTTTGTCATGTTGCAAAAAAAACAGAAAACAGATGATGTCTTATTTCTTCTACAACCATTCAAAAGCCCAAATATATTTATTTTCCCTGGTAAATTGCAGAAAAATCCTCTGCGAATTCATAATTATGAACTAACTTTGCACAGATTTTTGTCACTGACCTCATTATTTTACGCTTCAATAAATTGTCACATTATTTTGCTTATTTATTATACATTCAAGGGACATGCTTTTGGGAAATGAATGCTTAGAGGCATTTTTCTGCACAAATAATTGCTGAAAGACTTGCATGTTGCTTCAAATTTCCGATGAAACTATGTACCCCTCATTGTCCTCACCTGTATGCATACATCCATCTACACATACTGTGTACATGCAGCATAGTATGGTTTTTTTTGTTTGTTTGTTTATTCATTTAAGTTTGTGTTGACAGCAGTGGAAGAATATAAAATGAAAAGAAGATCTCATCCAGCCCCGATTCATAAGAGAAAAAATGTAAAAAAAAAAGTTTACCTAAATGCCCTACAAATGTGTTTGTTTGCTTGCTTGCTTGCTTGTTTAGACAGCATTTTTTAAAGGGTCAGTGTGTGAATATTGTGACCTGTGTGACCCTCTGTATTAGGTTATTTGTTTGGCACTGACACAAGATTAAAAATGGACTGCCCTTACAGCGAACACAATGTCCTGGGAAGCTCTGGGGATGTGTGCTATGGCCACCATCCAGTCACCTCTCCGTCTCCGCTCACACACCGCTCTGTCTGCCAGCTCTGGCTATACTTTCTCTTGGAAACTTGTGGGCTTAAATGTGACTGGCAACCATGAAACTCAACTCCTCGTGCTAATGTCTAAGAAGCCTCTTCTGTTCTCCCGCTGTCATCTCAGATTTTGTCTTGGCATGCAAACACGTTTTGCTGCTGCACTTTGACAGACTTTCTGGTTCTGTTTATATATTGTCATGAAACCACACTACACAGCGTCCTGATGATTCAATATAGTGAGACGCACACACTCCAACTCCACCCTCACCCTCTCGTTGCATACAAATATGTCTGTCTTGTTAAATGCAATTGTCACGAGGACGCATTGCGTGCACATTTCTGTATGCAAACTAAATTATGTACATATTTTGAAAGCAGCTTTTGGATCCTCCATCCAATGACCATTTAAGAAAATGCAGTCATTTTTTGGGGGCTTTCACTGGTTTAATTTTTCAAATAGAGGGTGCTGTGATTTCCCATTATATTGTTAGTCATATACCACAAGGAGCGCTTCAAATAAAACCAACAAAGTGCCAGAAAACTTTCTTACACGACCACCTGAGGGTCACTCCAAAAAGGAAGCTAATCCTGATAGACTCCCGTGTTATAATTTCATACTTACAGCTTGGTACAAAAAATATTTTCCCTTTTATAGCATATTGTCCACGCCAATGGCAACTGTACAGTGGTTTCATTTCTTCCTAATTCTACAAGCTGCAAATTCTACAAGCTGGATACATTTTTTTACGTCATCTCGTAATTTTCTTATATTGTGGTGACTTCTGCCTTATAGTGCATCACATAAAGTTACAGAGATTATAAAAAATGACTGACTGAATGCTGCTTCAATGTTCCTCCACATAACATATAATCAGACAATATACATCTACAACTGTATGCAAGTCTATAAACACAATACACCCTCAAAATTTCTGTATTTCTTGAAAATAATTTATTTTTATCTTTAAACTGAGTAGCGTTTGAACATTGCTTTAACTCCACATTTAAACTGCTTCCATATTTCACACAAAAACTTCTTATGGTTGAATATTGTGCATCTTTAGATTTAACGTATGCCTCCAATTTAAATTGTTTAAACAAAAATTCTTAGGCAACGACCCATACAAAGAGAACAATGAAATTACCTGCATACTGTCACAGTTGTTTGTTGTTGTTTTTTAATCTAAGCACTGCTCAGAGTAATTGCATTCATTTGCTTCTACATAGCACAATAATCCTTATTGTAATCCTAATTCACTCCCATTAACATCAAGTGCAGTCCCACTGAGGAATATATTCCCTAAGGCACTATTATTACCACTATGGAAATGTAAGGAGCGTTTTACACAAGAGATATCAAAGTTAGTGACAGACTGTAAAGAAAGCTTGGTCAAATACGTGCCACTCTCCTACAGTAAATGTCAGTGTGTGTCTCCTAAATGCCAAGAGAGGAATGGAAACAAGAGAAGGTGAGAAGTCTTCAGCTTGTCTCTATGGTATACTGCCACAGTATTAAAGATAACTAGAGGATGCGTGTATTTATAAGCAGCAGTGTATATAGGCAGTGTATATATTTACTCTCAGTCAGATTTCCCTCAGTATACATGAGCTTTCTTCAAAATAAAATGCCATGTAAGAGTTCTGATGGAAACAAAAACACATAGGAGACAAAGTGAACTGAACTGTCGAGCTGCAAACAACAAAAGACAAAACTGTTGAGTTGCAGAAAACATTTTTTGCTCTGATGTCAGCCCCTGAATGTACTACACTAAATCAAGGCTGCGAAAAATCACTAAGTCGCTAGATGGCAGCAAAGCCAGGATCTCCTGTCTGTTTCATCATTCAGCAGATACACTACATTATTGTGTCTGTCATGCTCTGCCACTAGAGTTCACTGTACCTTTACAGGTGATTCTCTAATGTGCTCCCACAAACGCCACCAGCTACAGTCCTAATTCAGTCCCAACAAACTGAATG